CCTATTCAAAATAAGCACAAGCACAAAAATACAGAATACAAATAATATATAGAAGCCGATAAGTACATTTTTATGCGTTTTTGCATATTTGTGAATTGCAAAAGCACATATTGGGAAGAGGCTGTGTGTGTGTGTGTGTGTGTATGTGTGTCTACGTGTTCGCATTTTATGTCACCCACTTTCAATTCGAGAACAGAAAAGCTAAAGGCTGAAGCCTTCGGGGTATGTGCCCATACCATGCGCGACCCTCCCGTTTTAATTTCATCTCCCTCGGACGCCTGGATGCCACGTATGGACGCTTTAAAAAAATATGCAGACTTTTTGGTGGGAAAGCGATCTCGGGAACCACATGAGCTAAGGGGCTGAAACTTTTTAGGGATATTCTCTGTGCACGTACTAGTTGAAGATTTCAAATTCAGCCTCCTGGTATGCGTGGTACTCACGTAAGGGCGTATGAAAGTTTTAGGGGGGAAATTGCTAACTCGGGTAACCAGGAAAGCTAAAAAGCTGAAATTTTGGGGTAATGTTCCCTATCGAAGTACAACTCAAATATTTCAAATTAAGCCCCAAGCTATGCATGGGGGATGTACCCTGTCCACGTGCAATTTAAAAATGTCAAATTCAGCTTGTCAAGCACGTGGAGTTAACTGCATGAATGGTTGTTTCTTCACACCTACCTTGTGCGCTCAATACCATAGATTATTGTAAATTTTGCATAAACGGATATAAACCATTTCCACGTAAAGGTCGGTTTTTTTTGAAAAGACACAGCTGTTCAGTAAGATTTTTCCCCCAAAAAATTTAATTACCCGTACATGAGAACCAAGTGCGCCTGGACGCTGAATTTGAAACTTTTAAGCTGTATATGGATCGGGAATGTCTCTTAAAATTTCAGATTTCCAGCTTTTCTGGTCCCCGAATTAGCAATTTTCCCACTAAAACTTTCATGCGGTCGCGCCTGATCAGGGTGCATATCTAAGTGCGGGGTTTGAAATCTTCAAGTTGTACATAGGTTGCTGACATCCCCTTAAAATTTTACC